TGACAGAGAACATTTATTCTGATAAACTTAGTGACAAAGGACAATTTATAATTAAAAAGTAAACTCTGCCCCCCTCCGACCGGAAGAGAAAAACAAATGTAACTGTGTGGCTTCATAATGAAAACAGACGCTTGTCAAAATAATGAAAACGAAGAAACAGGTATTTCTCAGCCTGTTTGGAAATGTATCGATTTTTTCTTATACATTTTTTGTTTGTTTGTTTTTGTTGTTTGTTTGTTGCTTTCTTTTCTTTTTAGCTGAACAGCTTTTATTTCAATTTGAAAACACATTTCTGTGTAAATTTTTACTGAAAAACCTTGATCAAAGGCACAAAAAGATAATTTGCAGTTTCCTAGGCCTCTCAAATTGGACTCCATATTCACCTGGATAAAACGAAAGTTCTTTCATAAAAATGCCGCTGACAGTCCTATCACACTGCGAGAGGCATCATTGACGGATGTTGAATCCTTCACCTACCTGGGAAGTGTCATCAACAAGGCAGAGGGAACAGACGAAGACATCAAGGTCAGAATCCAAAAGGCAAGAAATACTTCATCATTCTCAGAATATATGGATGTCTAAAGAACTGGAATTGAACACCAAGCTGAAGATCTTCAAAACAAACGTGAAGACTGTTCTACTGTATGGTTCAGAGACATGGAGGCTCACAGAATCAGCAGCAAGGAAACTGCAAAGCTTCATAAATGGATGTCTAAGAAGGATGGCGGGGATCAAGAAGTACAATCGAGTCACAAAGACTCAACTGTGGGAAAGAACAAGCCAAAGGCCAGTAAAGGAAGACATACAAGTGAAGAAATGGAACTTTATTGGGCACACCCTGAGGAGACCCCCGACAAACATCATCAGATAGTCTTTGACGTGGAATCCACAAGGAAAACGTAAGAAAGGAAGACAAAAGATGACATGTAGGCGAGCGGTACAAGCGGAAATGGAAAGGCGAGGACATCATGAAAACAGCTAGAAAAGGATGCACAGGACAGCCTTCACTGGGGAAATGTTGTTGGCCTATGCTCCACTGGGAGTTAAAAAGGGAAAGGGAGAGGGGAGGTCTTTCAAACTTTGGAAGTCACCAAACTTTAGTGGCTATTTTCTCTCTAAATGTACCTCTCACAACAAGAGACCCCACTCCTTCTGTCACAAATATCTCGACCTCTACTCAAGACAGGTTAATATATTTTTCACCATGAGCAAGACAAATGAACAAGCTTTAAGGTTATGCCAATAATTCAATATGCCCAAACATTGTTGAGTACCTGATTCCACCGTGTTGTAGCAGGCTCGATTGTAGATACTTTAAGATCTCATCGACATAATTTTGATCATTTAGAAAGTTGCCACTTTTGCGCGGCCTGCCAAGTCCAGCCCAGGCTAGGGTGCAGGGGGGGAGGATGTTTCAGCATTAATGTTAAGATGAAAACACTCGATAAAAAATCCGCCCCAACACCCAACTCTTGAAAAAAAACGCACACAATCTTCTGCGCGCGTTAGCAAAACTCCTAACCGCTGCACCACAGACGTCGATTACCCGAAAAGTGAAAAGTGATTAAACGACCAGTAATCTGACTGCAGACCACTGTTCTATTGGGTTAGTTTTTTAAGAACATAAATCGAAGTCCCAAAAAACCCACACAGTGGCTAAAACAAGTTTGGTGATCAAATATCCCAAAGCGGTAAAGATAGAAGACCGTATTTACTGAAGTAGTGTTGGGTCCTCATACTTTACTTAGCACGTCCCCTGGTGGTTGAGAGGGGAAATGCCTTCAGATATGGAGGTAACTGCTATTCATAGAACAATAGACCCTTTGAGTCATTGTACAATAATCTTGATGCCAGAAATAATGAGAAGACGACAGAAATTAATGTCTAATGATCAGAGACATCAAAACACAATTCGGCTTTCCTCCTGAAAGGGGGCATCAAAAAGGCTTTATTCACCTTAGCTTGACAGACAGAAAGTGAGCGTAAAGAGATATTGTTGAATGTGAAGAAAACAGAATTCATGGTTATAATATAAGAAGCAGTAAATCCTTTATGCAATGTCATAAGCAAAGGTGAAAAGATTAAACAAGTTCAAAGGTTTAAATATCTACAATGATATAATTACATGTTACCAAATGTTCCACAGAAATAAAACGAATAATAACAATAACATTATGTTTTGCATTTTTTTCGACCCCGTAAAATGTTCATCATTTCAGGGCTCGCTGTGTCTGACCTGTGCTCCTTGCTGACCATGATATGGATAAGCATCTGCCAGAACCCGCTTTTCTATCGTTCTGAGTTTAACTTTGACCCCCAGGATATCTTGTACCTCACGG